CATATGTAAAGCTGTGGGATTTGTCATGACCGTCTTTCGATCCGCTGATCGCTGCAAAAATCAAGTTATGATGAAAGCAATCGTTTCAATCCTTCTAAAACGCCCGTACTTGTCACCTGTCCGTTCATGGAAATAATACATTTGCATTTCTGCGACAACTCGCGGCTATTGAAAGGCCGTACTCGGACCGCAACCTTGACAGACGTCATTTTTATTCACGGCTTAAACAGAAACATGATCAGTGAATATTTTTTGGCAAATTCGCGGCATATTCATTCCAACGGCGTCATTTCATTCATTCCAAAAATTTCTGTCAAGATCAAACGGTACTCGAAGAAAGGATATTTAGAATTTATTGCAAATTTCGAAGTGCTTTGTGATCATATGTTTGCCGAAAACTTCTCTGACCCAAGGAGACGAAGGAGGTCAGCATGGCATCTAAGATTCAAAGCAGAAATTGCGAAAATATTTCCATCGAGGAAACCATATGAAGGCTTTATCAAGAACTGTGATACATCTGGCAACTTTAAGAAAAGAAAAATCGAAGCATTTCCGATTTTCTATTTGGGACATTCATTTAGTAGAAAGAATGTCACTTGCGTTGACTAGGAGAGGTCATTTTTGTATCACCCTGATGATGAATTTCGTAAATGTGTCAAAACCAAAACCACCTTTACTCAAAGACCTAGACAGACTTGAACAATCATCATGCATGTTGACTGACAAAAGCCAATTGTGTAATGAAAGTTCTCTTTCGTTTAACTTGAGTAATAGTTGGAACGCTATCAGCCAACTTTTCCTTAAGGGATAACCGAGCAGCGGATTTTTACCCAGACGACAACAACGTCAAGAGATACTGAAAGATGCTGATAAATAACACGAGCTAACGTCGTCCTAGAAAGCTGTTACCTTAAACTATGTGAACCGAGTAAAGGAATATTATTTAAAGTGTTTTGCTTATTGGACAATATGTGAATGGCCGACAGATGTGTCGGTGAACCGTAGAGAATATCATCCGGTATGCAATACTAGAAAGGCGAAATTCAGCAGCTGCCAAGCACTGAGTTGATTGGGATTCAAAAGAAGCGCATGACCGGATGGCAGAACAGCAACCTCCCTGATAATCTTTTCAGGATCTTTTCAGGAATTCTTTTCAGGATCATGCTGCTGAAAGTCATGTCTCGCTGAGAAAGAGATAGTAACATTCTTATCATGGGTGCGTCGTTATTACTGTTTTCCGTTCTGTTGGTGACACCGCAAATATTGGATGCTCCGCTTGGGATTACATCTGCAGACTCGAGGTTATATTTTCAGAAAGATTTCCACAAACTTCAATCATTCGTAAGAGTGCTGTTCTGTCTCACCCTCAAGTAGCTGTTCCTCACTGAAGAGAGCATCACATCTGTCCCACCCACAATCCTCGGGTTCGCATTTACAACTTGTTACTGGGAATGATGTTTTACTAATTTCAAGTGTTGATTTCTTATAAGGTACTGCTGGGCATCAGTATTTTATATCAGTGTAAGAATGTCATAACAGTTTCTGCAAAACAGGTTACTGTTCTCGCGTTGGACTTTGACTGAAGAAATCTTTGACCTTGCTACAGGTTTACGAGTTCTTCCATGAGGAAGGGGAGAGTGCTCTGTACGAAGTACCGCCTATTTAGTGCCTCATTCTAATGGACGATTTTAATGCGCAAGTCGGAGTAGACACTGAAGAATGGAAAGGCGGAATTTGAAATGAACGGCCCTAGCGACCTCAATAATAACGGCATGAAGTTGTTGCGATTTTGTGCAAACAACGAACTGTCCGTTGTTCGAGCATCAAAGAGTGCATCAGTATGCCTGGTACCGGGAAGCTTGTGCACAGAAGTCGATGATCGATTCGATAATCGTATCGTCTGACCTACGATGCTGTGTAATGGAGTTTGAGTTAAGAAGGGTGTAGAGCTGGCAATCGACCATGACCGTTTAGGCGAGTACTAGGCAAATACATGGTCTTACGTCGTGGGCCATGATTGAAAAACTTCGATCCCGGGTATAAAGGTTGAAACAGGCTTTTTGAGACGAATCGCTGAGCAGGAGGGTTCCTACCTTGTTTGGAATTCAGATATCCAAGAGAGAGGAGAGAAATTAGTGAAATTCGCTTTAGTGCACAGCTGCTGCTTCTCCAGTTTGAGAAGTAACAACTGAAATGGCTTGTGCACGTCTTGTGAATGCTTCTAGAAAGGGAAGCGAAATAGCCACTTGGTGCTCAGCCATCGGGCCGAAGACCCGGGGACGGCAAAGAATAGCTTGGAACAAGCGTCTGTAAGGAATCTGTTGCAAACTTGTGTTGTCTTCTGCTTAAGCTCAGGCGCTGCACCGGATCGGTCACGCTTACGACACCGTTCAACGCTTCTGCCTCTG